TAATTAGAAACGAAAGGAACGATCGTGAATGTTTCAAGCATTGCAGGTCCATGTGCAGTGAGTTTTTTTCCTGAAAGCATTTACAATTTAATGAAAATTCATTTTTGTTCGATTAAATGGTTGGAAGTTTTGTTTTATTTGGTACATACTTGAACATTCTCCAATTTACTTTAGCCCTGATTTTGCGAAGCAACGTTATTGGTCAGGCTCTGAAAAAAAGACATATGTTCTAGTGCGCTGCGATTGAAGGGGTGTTTCAAGCAGTATGAGTGTGGCACAGCACCAAACCCGTTTCCTGCCAGTGTTGAAGCGCGTATACGCCAACAACTGGTAGAAATCGAGTGATACGAACGATATGATAGAGTTTTGCCTCTGCTGGCTTCACTAGCTTGGTGGCGAACGGGTTTAGCACTGAGCCAGACTTATCCTGCCTAACACGCCCCGTCGTCCACAGCGAACTAGGCTATAGCTTGGCTGTGGAAAAACAAATACATAAATAGGTACGTTGCAGAAAGACTGCTGCAATAGTCAGAGTAGAAGGACTATCTCCAGTCAGTACGATCTTTTGATCCTTTTACAATCACCTCATTTTCCCAAAACTGCGGTCGAGCATGGGGTACGGTGTAGGTTGACACACCCTTTCATCCGGAGCGAAAAAAAACCCCCGACGACCCCAGTTAGAGATCTGATACGACCCTTTGATCACGTTGGCTCAACAATTATTTACACCAGTCCATTCTCAATTTAAGAATTTTGGAGCGCGTCGTAGAGGGCACGCCGCGAAAGTGTAAATCAAAACGTGGCAGTTCATCTTTACGGCAAAAGAGAACGGTTGAGATTAAGGATGAGAGTTTTCAGTTCCCCGGTGTTTCGTATTACTGCATGTCTAAGGCGGCTATTGACCAGTTCACAAAATGTCTAGCCCTCGAAATGGCGCCACATGGAGTACGCGTTAATGCAGTTAAGTGAGTGTATTTTTCATTTTTTATGCTTTTTATGCCCAATTCGAGCGAAGTGATGTAGTTACGTAAGTGGTAGTAGTCTGCCTCTCGTCCATACTAATGGAAAAGATCTATTCAAAAAATAGTCCAAGAAGTGCTTAAGAATAAGGATTGGAGCTCTGCTCAGAGATGCCCAAAACCTGATTCTTTTCTTTCTCCCACCAGTGTTTTTCTAGTTTTATCTGAGCTTCACACTTTTAGTCCTGGTGTTATCGTCACTGAGGTCCACAAACGATCCGGTATGAACGATGCAGCCTATGAAGGGGTGAAGTCTTTTATGTTCCTCATTGGATTTCTGTTCTTTTCTGTGCTATAACCTGAATTTCCCTGAAAATTCCGCCTCTCTTCCAGTTCCTCGAGAGAAGCAAAACTACATGCACTGGTCTGGCAAATAGCAGCGACAGCCAACACAAAAGAACAGCACATAGCTCAAAGCGGCCCACGCAACCCCGCCCACCAAGACATTGTCGTGCACTACGCAAAGTACCGCAACAAGAGGGTAAAGTGAAAAAAGGCGTGTAAAAAATAAAAGAAAAAAAAAAAAAAAAGAAAAGGAAAATAAAAAAAAAAAATAAAAAAATAAAAAACAACGCGTGCGCGCTCGGCCCTCGGCCGTGTTGGTGGCCGCCTGTCTGCCCGTCGCCTGACGAGCGCATGATGATTGTGTACCATAAAAAAGACAGCAATAACTCCGAGCGAATGCGTGTCCTAATGAAAAACTCCCACTCCATAAGGCGCCTGTTTGCCCCGATCAAGCAATGGTCGGCCGGGACTTAACTGCTAGACCATCGTTGCACTTCCTTTTTTTTGTGCACAAAATCCAACGTTTTCCCGTTTTCTTGTCCTACGTCCGGATAGCTTTCTCGCTCCCCGTCCTTCCCCCGCTAAGCGTGTTGCTCCGCTTTTTCCCTATTGTTACCAGCTCGTCTCCTGCACCGAACTCGACCCAACTCGCGGATTTTTTCTTCTTTCGCCGCCCGGCCCCACCCGGCTTGGTGGTGGCGTCGCGGGGGCGTTTTTGCGGTGCTCCTGCTGCTACTTTTGCTCCTTTCTGCGGTGCCTTCTCCGGTTCCTTTGCCTTCTGCGTGCTGGCTGGGTGCGCTCCGCGGCCCTCGGTCCGCGCCGCTTCCTCGGTGTCCCCTCTTTTTCTCGTTGTCTCTGCGGGATTGTCGGCTCCCGCCTCCGCTTTGCCCCCCTCGCATTGTCTCTCCCGTCTTCTCTTCGGCCCTGCCCCTTCCCCAACCATCGGCCGACTGGTTTTTTTGGTTTGTTGCCTCCGCCCCCGCGGCGCCCCGCTCGCCGGATGCTCTTTCGGCTTTCGCCTGCGATCCCTCCCTCCTTCCCCTGCCCCCGCTCCCCGTGCCCCGCGGCCTTTGGCGCCTCCTGTCGCCTTCGGCTTTTTTCACGCCGGTGTGGTCCCCTGCTGTTGTTGCCCTTTCGGCCCCTCCCCCCTGTCGGCTCTTGCCCGTCGGCGGCGTCCTCTGCCATGCCTGGTTGCTTCGTTGTCATCGCTTTTGGCTTTTCTGCTGGCGCCTGGGGGGCTTTGCCCCGCCGGCTTGTCGATCTTCTTGTTCGTGTCGCCCGCCCTGCCTCTCGCCCTCCCGTCTTACTCGCGGTCTGGCTCCTACTGAAAGCGCGCCAACGACGCTGCCCTTAAAAAAAAAACAAATATCGTCCGTTGTGGGCGGTCGCGCTCCCTTTCTCGCTTCTGCCTGCCGAGCGCTCGCCGTCCTGTGCCCGCTGAGTGCTCCGTCGCTTTTGTTCCTCTGTATCTAGCCGCTTTGCCCGCCCCATTGGCGTTGGTGGCGCTCCTTACTTAAATAGACATAAATGCCTGCTCTCCGCCTTGCGTCGCCGGCCTCTTTCCTCGTCGCCGACACTGGCGGTCTTCTCTCTGCCTTCATGACCTCCATTGCGCTAAATAGAATCTAACGAATTTCCGCGGGTCGAGTTCCGCGCGCCGCAAAAAAAAAACCAGCCTCTTGTATTCATCTAAGGCCTGGGTGCGTTTTCACAGTTGTGAGTGACATCTCATGCTGAGAACATTACTGCTAGAGGTATAGAATCGGTACTGCGTTCGTGCTTCTATAAGAAAATTGGGTACCCATGCGCACACCCCCTTGACCATCCTCAGTTTATCGGTCATAACACGTACAGTAATTGCAGCAGGGATGTCAGTCTCGCGGGGAAACCCGACAAAGGTCCAGGCTCTGTGATCAGATATTCAGTGCCTGACTTCATCCACCCGTTTTTCTTGTGCAGGATGAATATTATGGGACCATCCACGACAACAAATTTTTTCCTTTCTTCCTTGTACGGGCTCCTGAACCAAATCTTCCACCGTGTATTTCGAGAACACCCTTACACACAACTATGGTCCGGCGCAGGTCAAATTTGAGCAGCGCACTTTCCTCTTATGACGTCTGATTTGAAAAACCGGCGCCGATTTTCACCACTCGGGCTTCTTTTCAATTTCTCGAGAACTTCTTCTGGGGCTAGGTTCGCCAAATTTCACAGATACACAGCTTAAGGTACTAGCTTCCAAATGGTATAGTAGCCCGCTGCTCTATCCCCTTTGCTTTTCTGCCATTCCTCTATATGTAGCGGCCAGTTTGAATGGGATGACCTAATACATATTTTCCCACCCCCATATCGTCGGAATGATCGTGAGAAGCCATTGCTGAAATGACCCGTGCTATGGATTTCGTTTCTTTTCTAACGTCTCTTATCAGCGTTTACCACTCACTATCAGTTCTTGTCACCCACCATCGCTGTCCCCGTCCCATCCCTACATTGCTTCGTGGAACTAGCGCTCCGCTTTCGCGGCACGCGCATCATGAATTTGTGGCCCCACTTACACTCTAGTTCTCTGCGGACGGTTGGGCGTGTCAGCCAGTATGAGTGTGTCACCCTATCAGAGCCGTTCTCTGCCTTCTTGTTGAAGAGCGCATGCGACAAAAGTGGTAGAAAAGAGTAATACGAAGGATATGATACAGTATTGTCACTTGCCCGCTTCAACAACTGGTGTAGAACGAGTTTGGCACCGCGCCAAACGCAGCCGCACTGACACGCCCAACCGTCCGCAGCGAACTACACTATATTTATGCCCATTATCAGTTGTTCACCCCCTCCCAGCCTGGAACCAACACTTCCCCTTTGGTGCCACGAGCACTGTGAATTTTGCGTCAA